TGGGGGGTGGGGGGAAGGAGAGGACACAGGAAGGAAGGGAGAGGTAAAAACGGAGCCTCGTAGCCCATCGCACGGCGTCAGCGTCAGGCTAGAAAAGTGAGGGGGAAGCCCACCCCCTTGGGAGAGGATTCGGAGACAAAGGAAGCTTCATGTTCAAAGGTAGGATGCTCTGGGCTCGGCAGGGCTGGGCGATGCTGGAGGGACGCCGCTGGGGCTTTTAGTGAAGGCACCTTCTACCGTGCACCAAACACTGCCCGGCTCTGGCCACGGGGGAGGAATATCCCTGTAGGGCAGCGGGGAAAATCCGTCCTGGCTTTGTCTCTTCTCTTTTTTTTCCCCTTGTGGTGGCAGCAGCCTGGCATGAAGAAGAAGGAGCAGGGCTGGTTGCGGGGCGGATGGAGAATAGCCGGCGCCAGGGGCTGCTCTGAAAGAAGGAGATAATCCCAGCTGGTCCAGAGCTGGGGAAAGCCCAGAAGCTGCTTGGCGACTGGTTTGTCCCTTGCAAGTGACAGTCAGTTGCTGCGGGGGCAGCAGGGACGTCCTGTGCTGCTCCCTGGGCATCTGCGCAGGAGCCGGCGGGCGGGCAGGGAGCCCTGGCACCGGCAGGCAGGCGGGGGGTACCCCGGTCCTAGGGCACTCAGCATCCTCCTCGTGCCTTGTGGTGCAGCTCTGCCACCCTGCTGGCAAGCTGGCATATGGGGATGCTGGGGAACAGCATCAAGGGTACTGCCAAGGCTGAGGTGAGCATCTAACCCCGCAGCAGCTGGGCTGGGGATGGCCCAGCCCTTCACCTCCAGCTTCTGCCTCTCCAGGGAGGCTCGGGCATGCACTGCCCTGGGTTTCACTGCAGCCCTGGCAGGGCCAGGCTCTTGCCCAAGCCCTCTGCAGAGTGCTGAGGGGAAGTAAGGTTATTGCTGGGAAGGCTGTGGCAGCCTAAGGAGCTGGGATGAGATTTCCTGCCTCACTTGAAACGCCCAGTGATCCTGAGGCCAGGCAAAAAGAGCTGGTAAGAAGAATAGCTTTGTTCTGCACCCTGAGGTCAGGCGGTGCATCCGCCAGGGCTTGGCCTTTGCCCTGCACAGCTGGGAGAGATGCCTCGGGATCATCACAGAAATGGAAGGGAAAGGGATTTCTCCAGTGGAGAGATGTTCAGTGCAGCACCTCTGTGGATCTGATGCAAGGAGCAGATCCTGATGTCCTCAAGCCCCAGGAAGGCTGTGCTACTGAAGCATTTTCTTTCCTAGGCACCTGGCATCACCCACCAAGGGCCTCCTCCTGCCAGCCGCCTTCAGGCTCCGAAACCCATCCCTCCTCCCTGTCCCATGTCTGTAGGGAGTGAGACTGTGGGTCTGGGGCCACGCAGGTGGAAAGGTCTGGGGTGAGACGTGCGTGTCGATCACTGCCTCCAGCTGGAGCGGGAAGCCTTGTCCTGCATGGGAGGAGAGCCACAGCAAGGCCATCCATGTGTTACATGGGGGTTAAACAGCTTTTCTTTGCTGCAAGCTGGGCTGTGGTGATCGACTGTTTGCAGCCCTCCTCCCTCTTGCCAGTCAGACAAAGGATGGGAAGGCAGGGGGAGGGGATGTGACTATATCTGGGTTATTGGGGCGGAGTAGATGTTAGCCCCCACTACCTGAGACCCTGAGGAACCTGCAGGGTCACCTCTGTCCCCAGCCATCTGCTTCAAATATCAGAGGCAAGTGGACAGGAAGGGTGTGCTGCAGTAGTGGTGTCTGCTGCTGGCCATGTACACAGACCTTTCAAGGGGGAGGTTTTGGGGTGGATCAGTGGGTGGTAGAAGCAGGAGCTAGCTGGGACTATTGGGACTTCTCTGAGCACTCATTGCCTTTCTGGTCCTATCTGCCCTGACCTTAAATGCTGCACCCCTCGTTGCTCTGGAGTCAAATGGAGATGCATCTCTTGTGAGCTAGAGATTATCCCCCAGCAGTCCAGCGCAGGTGACCTCCCACTGGTAACTGGGCAGCAGAGGTATCACCAGCAACCGCCCTCTTAAATGAGCTTTGCTCAGCATACAGAGGAAAGCAGCAGGGAAAAGAGTGGCAATGCAAACAGAGGATATAAGGGGTGAACCTTTGTTAACCCTCTATTCATTAACTGGCCCTAGTGCCCTATCGTGTATTCATTACAGGGGACAGCCAGAGGGGCCCAGGGATGTGCCTAGGGCACACAATGTTAGTCCTTGGCCAGTCAGTCAGAGCACTAATGAGGCTTCTTAGCATCATTACTTCATCTAAAACAGCCATTCCCAGGAGACCAGGTAGACATGTTTCATATCTCCAGGTGCCTCTCAGCTCTGGCCTCGGTTTTGCACATCCTGACCTCCTCGGCAGTCTGTTCCTCAGTTGGCTCCTTGAATTCCTCTGTAGGACTTAGGAGACAGAAAATTTTGTGTGGAAAGCTGAGCCCTCAGGCACCTCTATGCAAAATGGAGGCTCCCCTTGCTGAGGCTGCACAAGAAGACACCCCACACAGAAAGGAAGGCAAATGACCAAGAGGAGAAAGGGAAGTTGTCTACCCTGAGACCTTGAATGTCCAAAATCAAAATTCCTAGGGCAACGTCACTGATATAAAATCCAGGAAATATTTCAGGAGACTTCTAAAGATCTTTTCTCCTGGTCTCAGGCCTTTCTGTCAGTGCCCAGGAACCTGACTAAAATATCTGCTCCAGTCACTCTAAATTCCTGGCTCTAGCATCAAACCCTGCAAAGGGATAGCCATGTATTGTGATGTCCACAGCAGAGTTAGCAACATCTGCTGGCTCTGGGCTAACCATCCCTTGGTGAGACTGAGGGATGAGTTATGAACCTCTTAGAGAGCCTTGAGCTTGGCTGCCAGCAACTTCCCTCCTTCCTCCCCCTGGTGTAAGAACAAGGAGGGAATAAAGGAAAGAGCAACAGGCCCCCTGAGAACAAGCTACTGCCTGGGCAGCAAAGAGGTCGCAGCATGCATGGCCAAGGTCCTGCACCCATCCTATGCAGGTGCTCAGTGGAGCTTTCTTCCCCACCTCAACCTGCTCCCTGTCCAGCTCTGGGGTTTATTTTCCCCCACTAATGCAGTAGCCAAATGCTTCACTGCTGCCACAGCCTCCTGCCCCTCATAATTCCCTGTCTCACGCTCTTTTCCCTCTCTCTTTGGGGTAGGTGGGTCCCCAGCAGGGCTGTGTGGGGTGCACACAGGATGCTGCAGCAGGATGAAGGGCATGGCACAGCCATGCCACCGTGGTACAGGTGGTGTGGGGCAGCCCGGGAGGGGAAGAGCAAACAGCAGGATGCAGGAGAGCTGGCTGGCTTGGCCATCCATGCTGTGCCACAGAGATGGGCTTTTCTGGCTGGCAGCAGCTTTGAGAAAGCTGGAAAAAGACAACAGCAGCCCCAGGGGTTGCTTTGTCAAAAAAAAGGAGGGGATCACAGCTGATAAGCTCTGGGCTCGGCAGGCAGCCTCCTCGGGCAGCTGCCCGGCAGCCTGAGGTGCTCTGAACTGCCAGCCTGGCTCAAGCCAACAGTCTGTCTTGTGCTCTGATCTCCCCGGGGTGCTGCTCGCTGCTTCAGGAGAGGGTGATGATAGATCAGAGTGTCCTGGCTCAGTGGGGAAGAGCAGAAGGAGGGGGCCATCCTCCAGCAGACCTCTCCCCTATGGGCAAGGTAGAACAGAGGTGGTACGAGAGCCTTCAGAAGTCCCCCACAGTGCTGTGCATGGCTGGCTGTGCTTCCATCCTCTCACATGGAAGGAAGATCCCTTCTCCCAGTTCAACATAAAAGACTTCCCAAGCAGTGTAAAAGGAGCTGGGTGGAGGCACTCTTCTCCTTGCCAAGGCTGGCACTTCTGCAAGGTCTTTCCTCAGCACACGATAGTAGGATATTAAAGCTTATGTAAAATCTGTGCCTGCACAGGAGCTTTGTTGTGGGAATGCTAGGCAAGGTCATCAGCCAGCCATACAGCCTATTGCAGCCTAAACCTGGCCTTGAACAAAATCTCTCTGTCCTCTCCCTAACCCTGGTGTCTGCCTGGCCTGGCTGGGCTGTCATGGGGACCCCAGACTGGTGCTATCAGTGTCCCCAGCCTAGTGACCTCTGAGTTGTCTTCCTCTCCAAGGGGCACATGTCACCCACCAAATGGCAGTCGCCTGCCTGGCCCCTCACGTCCTCCTCTGCAGCCAGTGGGTTCTGCTGAGAAGAGTGAAAAACTCCACCAAAGTGATGGAAAGGGATAATTTAGTGTGAGATGCTTGAACTGAAGCAGCATCCAAAACAAGTGGATTGCTTACCAGGCAAAAACACATGCTGTCCCTGTCCTTGGAAAAATAACCATCTAATGAGAAAAAGCATGAAGGAGACAAGTAATTAGAGTGGGAGAGGCTCTAGTTTGCAGCTGGTTTGTACATGAAAGGTATTTGATTCCCATCCCCTTCATTTCCTTTCTAGATTCATCACTCACTCCTCCCTTCCCCACCAATTACAGCTTTTCTTCTGTGCCCTGTCCTCTCCCAACTTCCAGCTTCCTCCCAGCCTGTGGGAGCTGCTCACTAATGAGACCAGAGAGGGAGATAAATGGATGAGGCCTGCCCCAAGCAGTGTGTGCCATCACCCGAAAAAGAGTCAGGGAGGCTGGAAAACCTGCAGGAACTTTCCTTTGGCCTATTTGTTTTACATGTAAGAAGTGAGGAGGGAAAGGTGCAGATGATTAGTTTATTGACCATGATGATTAGTTTCTTGAGCATGACAAAAAACATCGATCTGTGGGCAGGAGGCAAGCCTGGAGGTTGTGGCCATGCTCTGCGCTTCCCCCACTGCCTTCCTCTGAGGAACTGAGCCTGCAGAGCATGGCCACTAACGCAGATGCCCCTGGCAAGGGCCAGACTTGCAAGTCCTCACAGTAAATCCCAAACTCTGTTTCAATGCTGAGACTTGATACAGGGTAATTTTTAAAAGTCTGTTCCATCATAAATGTCATGCATGTTCCATCATAAATGTCATGGGCAAAACACTGGTGATCCTGGTGAGAACTGGGAGATAAAAATGAGGAGACACACTCAGAGCTTTGGGCACCTGATGAGGAGCCCAGCCAGCTTGCCTGGGTCTGCTCCTGCTGTTTGGATGTAGCCATCAACATGTTCCATTCTCAACAAACCAAAATTCTCCACCTCCTCATGTGGAGTGACATACAGAAGAGAGTGCTGGAAACTCAAATAGATGTTCCTCCATGAAGAGCCTTCCTGCCAAATTTTTGCAATTCAGCCATTCCCTGTAGCTCTGGAAATGGATGCCCAAGGTTGACCTCAGCCCCTGTGAAAAGGTGAGCAGGGAGGTCCTCGTTGCACCTTAATGATGATTTTTCAATCTTTCTGTCCATGCAGGGCCAGCAGAGAACAAAACTGAAGCAGCCATGTCTGAGCTGGTCCCAGAGCCACGACAAAAACCAGTTGTACCAATGAAACCCACAAGCATTAATGCCAACTTGCTGGGATACATCGGTATTGACACCATCATTGAGCAGATGCGCAAGAAAACCATGAAGACAGGTTTTGACTTCAACATCATGGTTGTAGGTAGGCAGAGACCCGCTGAGGTGCTGGGAACCATGGCCAGGGACTGCCCTGTGAGGCCAGGTGGGAGGGCAAGCCCTGCAGGGAGGGCTCACCAGAGCAGACAATGCTTGCTCTGGGGGGAAGAAGAGCCTGCACAAGGAGCCTGTGCAAGCCTGCACAAGGAAGGAGATACCTACAGCCCCTTCCCCTCCCAGCCTGGCTCTGTCCCCTGGACCTGCTGTCATCACCGGACTGTGTCAGGTGTCATGAGCTTCCTTTTTTCAACCTGCAGGTCAGAGTGGACTGGGAAAGTCGACATTGGTGAACACCCTCTTCAAGTCCCAGGTGAGCCGCAAATCCTCAGGCTGGAACCGGGAGGAGAAGATCCCCAAGACAGTGGAGATCAAAGCCATTGGACATGGTGAGAGCCAGGCTGCTGGGGTGGAGGCAGTATTGATGCTTCAGCACAGTCTTGCAGAAGACCCCAGTGACCTATGCAAACAGTTCTCTGGTATCAGGCAGCCCTTTCTCTATGGGAAGCTAAAGGACAAGTGCCAGATTTAGATGGTGTCAGACCCAGACAATGCTTTTCTTAAACAACAATGCCACTGATGCCACAGTAAAAAGTGAGGAGTAGAAAAAAAGATATTTCTTCTGACAAGACATTAACATGCATGTGTGGATTAGGCATTGCTGTAAGTCATTCCCACCTGCAGACACTTAACAATCTATGCAAATTACATTGGTGGGTCCCATCCCAGGCCTAGTAGAGCACATCTCCTCATGGCAAAGCATCAGAACAGCTTCCACAGTGTGCAGAGTAATAAGCATCATCTCAGATTCAGGATGAAGCACTGGAGGGGAGGGTAGGTTGTGTAAAGTAGGTAATACCTTTGGGCCACAGACTGAGCATAAATCCATTTTTCTTGTGCACCTTATACGGTGCCTTTGGTGAAGTGGTTACCCAAATTTGGGGTCAGAAATGCAAGTGGAGGTCACAACTGTTGTGGCATGACCCAGCCTGGCCTGGTCATGCTTGCTGGGCAGGGATGAGGGCCGAGCACTTTTGTTCCCTTATAGGGCACAGAGACATGTTTCATGACGGAGCAAGTCCCCAGGGAGGCATATAACAGTTTACACTTTCTTCCCCAGTCATTGAAGAAGGTGGTGTCAAAATGAAGCTGACAGTGATTGATACGCCAGGATTTGGGGACCAGATCAACAATGAGAACTGGTGAGTTTTACATGGTCAAGGCCTTGTGTCCCAGAAAGGGCTGGAATTAATATGGTATATGGAGTGATTCTCATCTATTTGGCCTGCAAAGTGTCTGGGATCCTACTGCACTCAGGGGGCCAGTAATGTGGAAGTGGAATTGTGACCACCATATGTCTGAGTGCATGCTCAGGGGTAGGCACACATTGCATAGCAAGTGCTTACCTCTGTGCCCAGTTACAGAAACTCTTAACCTTCTCTGCTGATGGTGAGATGCTTGTGGTGGATATTTTTTATGCCTGAGACTGCTTTGGTGCTGTCAGAGCTGGGAACACTGTAGGCAGGAACACAAGGAGATTTCCACCTGTCTATTCATCTCTCTCTCATACCTTAACAGCTGGGAGCCAATCGAGAAATACATCAACGAGCAATATGAAAAATTTTTGAAAGAAGAGGTGAATATTGCAAGGAAGAAACGAATTCCAGACACACGAGTGCACTGCTGCCTCTACTTCATCTCACCCACGGGCCACTCGTATGTACACAGTCCCTGGTCCTTCCTCAAGCCTTCAGTGCCTCCGTGCCAGATATATAACCTGCACTGCTCCATCTCAGCCATGGACCCATGGGTCCTGCCTGCAGGGCTGGCCACTGAGTAGCTTAACTTTGAATGCTGCAGGGCTTGAAAGGGTCTAGAATAACAAGGGCAGGAGAAAAGCCCCTGTGTTTTTTGGGAGAGGGTAGGATGGATGGGAAGAAGGAGATGAGAGCATGGTGGCAGCAAGCAGGGCACATACAGGGAGGTTTCATTGGTGCCCAAATGCTGAGAGAGTCACTAGGATGAAAAGGGAGGAGGGTTAAGTGACCCCTTCCATGTTGTTCCCTTTTGGGCTACAGCCTGCGGCCTTTGGACCTGGAGTTCATGAAACATCTCAGCAAGGTCGTGAACATCATCCCAGTAATTGCCAAGGCTGACACCATGACCTTGGAGGAGAAGACCGAATTCAAACAAAGAGTGAGTATCTCTTCTCTTGCATGAGACCCTTCCCTGCCCTGGCTTCGAGGTGGGAGGCATGAGCAGTATCCTTCTGCAGTGCAGTCCTCAGGGCACATGGAGTCCAGCTCTGGATTAGTGGGTAAGTCCTGAAGATACAGCTGCTTATGGCTCTGAGGGGACCTGTTAGATCAGGAAGAAACGTGTGTATCCCTGTGACATCTCATGATATGCTCTGTCCCGGGAACTGCAGAGCCAGACAAGTAGATGTGGTTGGGGAAGAACGACTCTTCATTACTGCCATGTGTCCATGCTTTGCTGCACACTTCCCCGGGGACCATCCCCCCAGCCCCTTCCCACTGGAAGGATGTCCCAGATGTGTTTGCCCAGCCATCCTGCCTGCCTTCCCTTCAGGTTTGTGTTGCTTTGTGTTCCAAAATGTCTTTTTGCCCAGGTGCGCAAAGAGCTGGAAGTCAATGGGATTGAGTTTTACCCCCAGAAAGAATTTGATGAGGACTTGGAGGATAAAACAGAGAATGACAAAATCAGGGTAAGAAGTATTTTACTGTGGGAAGGGCATGGAGGGTGATGGCTGGGCATATTTAACAAGTGTAAAACAGACGTGTCGCTAGAATGTTTTAAATGCTTTGTGGTCTCTAAAAGAAAGATACAATGGATGTAAGGGATGGTCATGCCTCCTTCTCATCTTAATTTGTCCCTGCCCTTACTACAGGGTGATATAAAGACTGAGTGAGGAAGGACTATGTTTCACCTCCTCTTGCTGAATGCTGTTTGGCCACCATTAAGGGCCAAAGGGGCCTGATGTGTGGCTGATGTCCAGCCTCTCTCCCAAGCAACTGCCCCATGAGCCCTCTCATCTGCTGACCAAACTCGACCTGAAAAGCAATGCAGTTCTTATCTCCCTGAGTCCCTGTGAGAAGGCTAGTCCCACCCTTCCCTCCTCAGAGCATTAGAAACTGTCTCCTAATTTCCAGTTTGTGCTTGTTCATGGCCAGGTTGCACCCAGAATTCTATCTGTGTTCTTGTGCCAACACTGACTCAAGCAGTTCTCCTACTTAGTGGTCCTCTCCACTACTCAAGGCATTTATAGAGAACGTTATCCTTTTCTGACCTTCTAGTCAGCTAAAAGAAAAAGCTCATTCAAATGAGCTTCCAGTTCCTCAGCAGCCCATGCTCCTAGTCACATTTTTCTGTGCTTGCTCCAGTTTTATTTGATTTTCTAGCACTAACGCTGCTACCCCATGCTCCCCCATCCCTTCTGAGATCTGAACAACTAAGCCTGTGGGCCCCATATGGTTTTTTAAACAATTGCATAACACACACTGGTGGCTCTTGGTCATGTTCTGGCCGACTAGCACGTGGGGTCCTTCCAATCCTTCAGTCACTGCCTGTTCATGAGATCTTAAGTCATAGCAGAAATTCTTTATGTTATTTCCTAAATGTGGCTCTTTATGCCTCAAATATACATCTTCCTGGATAATAACCCAACCTTTGTGCTGATAATACCTCTTGGCCTTGTGATGTTAGTGCATTTAATTACCTCACTCATAATTTCTGGGACTAGGCCATTAATGAAAACAGATTTGCATCTGTGACAGTCCTCAAGAAACTCCAGGAGGGCTGCACTGCAGCCTGACACTTGCCCTTTCAACTTTCCCAACTGTCATAGCCTCAAGAGAAATTCCTAGCTTTCCCATCTTAAGTAATTACTTCCCATTTGGCAATACATCACTCATTCTAGAGAAGACTAAAAGGGTTTTACTTCTTCTCCAAACTGTTACTAGTTTTGAGGAGGGCACCACATTTTGTTCTGCACTTCAGCATCATTGCCCTGGGTTTGGATAGTCTCACACGTAAGAAATACACTGCTTTTTAATCTCCATTCCCAGGCCAAGGACATCCACAAAGCAGAGTAGATCTACAAGCATCTGCACAACCTTATGTATAGCAGGGTCTCCTGCACCTGTGCTCTGGAAACAGATGGTTTCTCCCTGTCCTTAGAGAAATCTGGGTCCCAAACAGCCTCACCTACTGTCCCACTTTGCAGGAAAGCTGCTCCCCTACTCCTACATTGCTGAGTGTTCACATGTGTCTTTGGGGAAGATGTTTTGAGACCTCTCCTTCTTCTGGTGAAGAACTACAAACTTGGTGAGAAATGCTCACTGCAGACCACCCATATGAGCAGCCCTGGGCTGAAAGACCCTCTCCTGGTTACATCAAAGTACTTATTTTCAGGTCATCCCCCTCTTCAGAAATGCTGGAGGTGGGTGCAGAAAAGCTCTGCCCTCTGCTTCAGAGCCCTTGGCACTGCTGCAAGCTGCACACTAAGCTCAGGGGGTGCAAGGACACCTGTAAAGCAAGGGCCTGAAATGCTAGGAATAGCACTGATGGGTGAAGAGGATAGTCAGTCAAGCATTGCAGGGTTTGCAAGAGCCCTTTCCCTTCGATAAAGCCTTGTGTTTGGTGAACTGAGAGGAGGGAAGGTGGATGGGGAACAGTGATGGTGCTGCTCTCTGGAATGGGTCTCTCCACATGTCTCTCCCCAGCAGGAAAGCATGCCCTTCGCAGTAGTGGGCAGTGACAAGGAGTACCAAGTGAATGGCAAGAGAGTCCTGGGCAGGAAAACACCTTGGGGAATCATTGAAGGTAAAACCACCTTTGCTTCTGGGAGCTGAAAGTATCTATATTACCCCAGCAATAGACAAGGGTCAAGATGACATGTCCCATGACTACTTTCCCATCCCTTTTGTGATAAACTTCTTGAAAGAAAACAAGAGGAGAATTCTCAAATAGCTGTGCTGGGAGGGAATGCCACGGTCAATGTGGTACCGCTACTGCCAACTGGCAGAAGCTGGACCCACTCTGAACACCACGGTGTGTGAAGCTGAGCGCCTGAGGTTGCCTTGGTTTTCAAACGAAAATACACACGTCACCACTCAGCACATCTTGGCTTTCTCAGTGGCTGACAGTGTGGCATTCCAACATCTGGCTGTCCATTCGGAAGTATTCAGGCTCTGCCCACCTGGAACCTGCCCCGTGGCAATGACCTTCCCATGATCTATAAGCACAAAGGCATTGTTGAAAAAATAAAGCCTAACAATTGCTTGCTTTCTTTTCAGTGGAAAACCTCACTCACTGTGAATTTGCCCTACTTCGAGATTTTGTCATCAGGTAAGGCCATAGTCATGTACCAGTTTGCTCTTGATGAGCAAGGAGTCTTCCTTAGACCTTCTTAGAGTGAAACAGCCTCTGTGGAAAGGAAAATAAAGTACATTTCAGGTAGTGAAAGCTTCTATGGGGTAGGGTTGGATTGAGTTAAGGGGTAGATACTCAAGTGCCTCTCTTAGTGACATGATCACTATGTCAAGTAGGTGTTAGTTTTCATGTATAAGCTGGATGCCTGGAGAAAAGCAGGGTACTACTACCCCCCTTATATCCCATTAAGTATATTAGATTGCAACAACTTCTATTTGTTGCTGAGAAAAGGTATAGGCTGGAGTCAGTGAGAAAGAGGCCATTACCCCATCCTAGACCATGTGTCCTACCAGGTTGAGGGATGGGCTGGAAGTGGAAAGCTCTATCTTTTGTTCAGCTTTCATTGTCCTTTCTTATTTCTACTTTGTTTCATGAAGTGTCTCAGCATAAGTGATATCTGCCCCAGAAGAGCTGCAGATTCAGGGTCACTTCTGTTCCTTCTATGCAAAATAAGGTTTTAAAATAACAGACACACAAAAAATAAATAAGGGAAGCACACTTAAAACCAGAGAGCTCTGTGGCTCATTCCACCTGTGAGTATGGGGTTATTGAGATACTTGGCCAGGTACAATAGACATTACCCTGCTGCCCTCTTTTTGTTCTGTGATATCTTCTGTAGCAGATGTGCTTTCTATAAGTCTTCCAGTAAAAACATTCTCACCAAGTGATCATCATAGAGCATATAGCAACCCAAGCCCCCAGTCCCTATAGAGTTTAGGGAAAATGCTCACAGCAGTGTTCTGCAGGTTATGGTCTGCAGTGGACCTGAATACACCCTCCTGGTGCTTTCTTGTTTCACCACCACTTCAGCTGAGATGAGCCCATGTTTGCTCTGACACACCAGGACAGCTAGTAGCTTTCCCACTGGTACTGCTGTGGGAAGGGCAGGACACTAGCAAGCACAGCCAAGGATTTCAGCCCAAATCTTGCATATGTGTCCTGGAATGCTGGTTCTCCAGTGCTCAATTGTATGATGGTATCCATGCAGAAAGAGGGGTACACTCATTAGCCTGACTGACTGGAGGAATCTTCCATTTACCTTGGGGAATAACATTATGGCCAGAAGATGAGTACTGAACACGCTGATATTGGTTATTGTATCCTCTTTCCAACCCCATCTTCACTCTGTCCCCTGCAGGACCCACCTTCAGGACCTAAAAGAAGTGACCCACAACATCCACTATGAGACCTACAGGGCCAAGCGGCTGAACGACAACGGCGGGCTGCCCCCCATGACTGTCGAGACAGAGGAGAACCACGAAAGTAACCTGTGAATGACCCCCCCCCACTCCACTGTCACCTGGTGTCTCTGGATATGACAACCCACCCCTGCTACCCCTGACTACTGCGGGCCTGTCTCCGAAGCATGTGGCGCATCCCCCGGGTGCGAGCGTGAGTGCGTGTGCGTGCGTGTGCCCACCTCTGTGCCAGAGAGGGGACAGAGGTGTCTCCCCATCCTGCCCAGAGTGTCCTCATTCTCCGTTTGTTTTTTGCACAGTGGACTGTCCGTCCTCTTCCCTTCCCTCGTTTCTGTGTCTCAGCTGTGTGTCTTGCCTGAGGGAAATAGGGATGGGGGGAAGGATTTCTAGGGGCAGGCAGGCTTCAGAGGTGGGAGGTATGGGGCGTGCTGTGGTTCTGTTTTGATCACACAGCAAGAAGAGACTCCAGGAAAGATGGTGGAGGCAGTGCACGCAGTGTCTTCAAGTGATGGCAGCAAGGATTTCCTTTGGGTCCCCAGTGGGTGGGAAGGCAGCTGGCTGGTCTAAGGGCAAGGTGGCCCATTTCTTGCTGTGGCTTCCCAAGGAGAAATGACGGCTTGGAAGTGGATAGATGGGAGAAGTGACAGTGATATGTTTTGTGGTTCAGGGGAAGTGACCAGTGAGAGGAGACAGAATGAGTTCTTGGGCTGTAGGATCTGTTTGAGAAGCATCAAAGGACTTGGGGAAGATAGCCATATTTTCCAAAAGGAGCAAAACCCAGAGGAAAAGAACGTTTCTGCTGCAGAAGGTGCATTTGCCTGGCCCAGTGCTAAGATCAAAAGCTGCACTTGAGCATCACAGGCTTTTGATCCTGTGCAGCTTCCAGCTCAGACCAAGCTGTCTTGAGGTCAGTCCACCTTGTTCCCCCTGCAGCAGTCCCTCCAGTCTCTCTCCAGCAGGATGAAGCAGGTCCCAGCCAAACCCTTCCCCCACAGCACAGCCCCTCTGCTGTGGGAACACAGGGAAGACTGTGCCACAGGCGGTCTCTGCCAGGGGCTGCCCTGGGGACAGCCCTGCTCAGCACAGGCCCTTCAGGATCTTGGAGGAGTGTAAAGAGCCGTGGGTTGAGAAGCACCGGGCCAGGGTGTCTCCCTGAGCTCTCCACTGATGTTGGGAACACAGAGGTACCTCCTCCTCACTGAAAGGACTGCGTTTGCTGCTCCAGCAGTCTCACTATGTGCTGCTCCTGCCCTCTCCTACTGCCCTCCCAGATTCCCTGTCCTCTTCTCCTGTGTTTTTGACCTCATTCCCTTTTAGCCCTCCGTAACTTTCTTCCTTCCATTCTTTTCCTATCTCACCTTCTCTGCTACTCACTATTTCTGTCTCTCCTTCATTTCTCTGAGTACTTGGATTTTCCTTTTATCCAAGCTGTCTCCTCCCTTTCCATCTCCCAGCTCTTACAGCTTCTCCTTATCAATGTGCTTTTGTGTCCTGCTGAGAAACTGTTGGTTTATCTTCTCCTGGAGACCCAGGAGCAGAAAGAGGCACAGCTTTACTGAAGACTATATGCTCATCTCTAGCCAGGGTCAGTTCTTTTCCAGATGTCCCTCAGCCAGGCAAAAAGCATCAGGGCTGGCTGGGAAAAAGGGAGGTGGGGTGAAAATCTCAGATGTCCTGAGCTTGGCAGTCTCTGCCTGTCACCCACTGTCACCCAGTTGGCAGAGACTGTCACCTCCAGGAGAATAGCCAGTTGCACTTAAAATGCACGTGCAGAATGTTGTGGCACAGGACAGTCGTGCTGCAAGACAGGGGAAGTGCAGAGGGTTTGGGATGGGGGTTGGAAAGGCTGGCACAGGAGGAAGGAAGAGGTCCCAGTGAGGGAAGAGTGGGGGAGCACTCAAGACAGGACTGAGGTTGGTTGACAGAGCAGTTTGAGAGCCCCGTGCCAAGCCTAGGAAGAGGGTTCTCTAAGCCTTAGCAAAACCACCAAAGAGCATATATGTCTATCTTGTGACTTTCTCTGGTGCTGTCACTGCAAAGCAAACGTGCCTCCGCTCTTGCTCTCCTGTGTCCACACAAACCAGCCATTCTCAGCACCTCTAGGATGTGAGGGCCACACCAGCCCTTTGCAGTCCTTCCACCACCCATGTTTGTGGCTCCCCGTGTCCCTGTATGTGGCGTGTGTACACAGCCTCCCACTTGCCCTCCCACCTGCACCAGGCCCTCAGCCCTGCAGAGAAAAAAAGCCTCATCTCCAGTGCCAGCAGCTGTCCCACAGACCCTGCGGAAACCCCCCTGCCCCGCTGCTGCCCATCCCACCACCCACCCCAGCCATCCACAGCCCAACGCAGGGTCAAAGCCTCCTCCCAGCTTGTCTCCACCAGCTGCCATGACATGGACACACCCCCAGCATCACCGGCTGCCAGGAACATCTCT